ATTATCATATAACTGTGCTCGAATTTTCTCAGATTCAAGTAACCCTTCAGGGTTTTAACCAAGCACTTCTAGTCTGGAACTTTTAAGATGAATTCCTCACACAGAGATAACATCTTTAACAACCCTATTGTAAAAATCTTTCTTCCAAGCTATGGGTGTTTCCTCTATTACACCAAAAATTCCAGAATCTTCTATCTGAAAGTCTAATGCACTACATTTTTCACTTTTAAATATTCCCGATGCAAACAAATGAAAACATCCACTGCCTGGATGGGTGCAACTCCACAAACACTTAGTGTCAAGCTGCTTATCAGACAAAGCAGCCCATACGAATTTTACCACATCCACAGCCATCCACTCCCTCCACCACCGACGCTAAGTAGCACCACTCTGTACCATCTACAAGATGCACTGCAGAAATTCACCAAAGATCCTTAAACAGCACCTTCCAAACACACAACCATTTCCATCTAGAAGATACATGGGAACACCACCAACTTCAAGTTCCCTTCCAAGCCACTCACCATCCTGACTTGGCAATATATCACTGTTTCTTTACTGTCACTGGGTCAAAATCCTGGAATTTTGTCCCTAAGGGCATTGTAGGTCAACCTGCAGCACATGAACGGTTCAAGAAGGCAGCTCACCACCAACTTCTCAGGAGGTAATTAGGGATGGAAAATAAATGGTGTCCAAGCCAGTGTTCCACAAGTCAATAAAAAAGTTTGTCTACGGGAAATCTAATAATGTGTTTTAAAATAAATTGCTGTGGCTACAGAAATATTTACAAGTTAATTAGAAGCCCCTTCAGAGACACACAAAACCCCCAATATGCCATGAGTTCAAAATCCAAAATAAATGATATTAAAATGTATAAATCACACATCTTACTTCAAAACACAGACTTACATATGAACAGACACATACACTAGCGCATACAAATATTCGTCTCTCCTCTCGCACAATCTCTCACACTGACGCGAACAGACACATTCTTGCATACACACGCACAGAAACTCACACACGCAGAAACTCACACATACTCTTTCATACAGACACACATTGTCTCAAACACAGACAGACACATATACACACACAGAGCTGTGAGGGTCATAAGTGAGATTTGTGGGAGAAGTGGACAAGAAGTTCAGCGTGTCCTACTGTAGAAACCCTACTGGTTGTATGGAAGCAGGTCATTCAGCTTATCGAGTCCACACGGACCCTCCAAAGACCATCCCACCCGGGCCCACCACCCCCTACCCTTTCCCTGCATTTCCCATGGCTCATCCACTAACCTGCACGACTTTGGATTGTGGGAGGAAACCAGAGCACCCAGAGGAAATCCATGTCGATACGGGGAGAATGTGCAAACCCCACACAGACAGTCGCCCGAGGGTAGAATCAAACCTGAGTCCCTGGCACTGCGAAGGCAGCAGCACTAACCGCTGAGCCACCATGCTGCCCTAGCAAATATCTTAGCAAGCCACTGAGTTCAAATGAATTTCTGCAGTGCACCATGTAGCTAGTACACATTGCTACTGAGTGTTGGTGGTGGAGGGAGTGGGTGCTTGAGGATATGGTGCCAATCAAGTGGGCTGCTTTGTTCTGGATTGTGTCAAACGTTTTGAGTGTTTTTGGAGCTGCACTCATCCAGGAATGTGGGGAGTATTCCATCACACACCTGACTTGTGCTTTGTAGATGTAGACAGGCTTTGGGGAGTCGAGAAGTGAGTTACTCGCTACAGGATTCCTAGCCTCTGGCCTGCTCTTGTAGACAATATTTAGATGGCTTTATATGATATTTACATTGAAAATATTAAGTATTTACAGTATTAATGTCCAGTTCAGTTTCTGGTCTGTACTGAAAGGCTGCAGAAGGGACATTTTGCAGAGGGACACGCACCCAGGTCATGACTCACCTCCGTTATATTCCACTTCCTATCTTACAAAATATGCCAGATAAGCTTAGCATCGAGAAATCTCAATATGGAAGTCAAAGCGGGTACCAAAGGCACTGGCTGTGGGGAGTATCCATGTTGTTCAGCACCAAACAGCATCTCAGAGAATGATCTACAGGCAGCAGTTGTACACACCCCTCATCCACAGATGCTGATTTTAGCAACCTGTCATGCCCATCATGGTATCTCTCCGATCCAATTGCAGGATGCACAGATCTGCACTGTAGGGTATGCCAGAAGCAAGCATTGAGAGGCTGCTGTAAGGACACTGCACATGGACAGGCACCTGACTCACAATGGACCAGGCTGCATCTCAGGGCCACTGACTTTTTTGCTTAGCGCATTGGAGCTTCAGCCAGAGTCAAAGGCTCTCACTAATGCCATGTTAAGGTGCTCTTCGGTGCAGACACACAGGCAGCCTGTTTGTCAGGAGGGAGCAGTCTGGGGTTGTGGGTGATTCTTGTTATACAAGACACTGACGTGGTAATCTAGCACCTAAGGCATGTGCCAGCTGCCTGTGTGACAACAACACTGCTCATTTATTAAACTAATGGCCATGTTGGTCAGTGGGTGGGTCATGTCCTCAGCCCAGACAAAGGGCAGGGGGTGGGTTGAGACTCACTGTCAGTCAGGAGTTCCTGGTGTCATCAGTCACAGGCACCAACTATGATTATGGTCACTTGTTACTCAGGCCATTAATAGGCAGGAATCTGTCTGACTGCAGTCCAAGGAGTGGGCAGTGGTCATTCTGTAGGGCCAGCAGCAGCATAGAGTCATAGAGCTGTACAACGTGGAAACAGACCCTTCTGTCCAACTCGTCCAGTTGGAGAGCTGTAAACACAGTCATGACAGTTCCACTGCCAAAAGAGATGGGGGAGTTGAGGCTGAGAGGAAAGCATTTGTAAAGGTGGGAACATGGACACTAATGACTTTATGGTGTATGCGGTTGGGGGGGTGTGGGGACTTTGCTGAACAGCCTTCGAGTGCATGGAATCGTTAGAGGAGTGATATTGGCAATGACCAACCTTGTGATCTCCACTGGGGGAGATCTGACAATAAGGTTGGCATCATTAGGGTGTAATATTGGGTCTTGGGAAACAAGGAAGATAGTTCCGACAAAGGGTCACTGGGCCTGAAACGTTAACTCTGCTTTCTCTCCACACGTGCTGCCAGACCTGCTGAGTTTCTGCTTGTTTCAGTTGGAAGCAAAGTTCAATGTAATGTGTCTCCACGTGAGGAGGATGAATAGAAATGGGCTGTTGGGGTAACACGAGGTGAAAGAGAACATGTAGGCTCTAATGGTGGGGGGGCTACTTGGTGACCAGGGTGTACACCACCATCTCTGATCCCTGCCATTACTTGCTGTTCTAACAATGTGTGAGATGCAACTGGTAAATGGCTGAGGCAATACCCAGGGTCAGGACGAAAGAGTGGGATCCATGTCAGCTGGACAATAGGACATTGAAGGGGCAAATACATGAAGCAGGTGTTTGCAAACATCAGTTACATTTAATTTGCAATTACTTAATTGCCCATTTGCATTGCACGCAGAGTAAATCTGCTTAAGGTTAAAATGCTGGTGGAAGGCAATTTGTACCATGCCATTGATCCTTGCAAAATGAACATTGGCATCTCAATGATACGGGAGTTAACAACAATGACTCTAAAAGATGACATTGCTGGCTAAAGCCGAACAATTAATTGTATAATGTCCAAGACTGCTGTGGGAGGCACAGACCATCACTTCATTATCTGTTATGTAAGTTTAATTATGGACTCTCCTGAATGCGATGAGAATATGAAGAATCGATGTGGGACTGAGGTGGAAAGGGACTCTAACTTTTTGATGTAATATGCTGCTCACGCAGCAGTTGGTGCACATGTTGCAGCCTGGGCAGTATGATTCAGAACCATAACTGACTTTACCCAGATGCAGGGAGCCATCACTGCACAGACATGGTGCTGACAGGGCCAAATCTCAACACTGCGGAATTCATCAACAGGAAGAGGTTCCATGTGGAGGTGATCTGTGATTGCTATCCTGGCATCTGCTACAGCTCCTACATCCTGCAGCACTCTCACATACCTGGTGTGTTTGAGGATCTAGGGGCCTTACAGGGTTGGTTATTGGGTGAAAATGGCGTTCCACTGTGACCCCCTGACTGATGTGGAATGCAGATACAATGCAGATGGTGGGGCTGCGGAAGGTATCGTTCTGGGCTGGTCTGGGAGGGTCGCTCCAGTAAACTTTGGACAGAGTATGCTGCATCATCCTGGTGTGCGATGCTCTGCCCAATTGGAACAGGCAATGAGGCGATGTAACCGATGCTGAGGATCTGGGGGAACTGGAGCAAGTTGTTCCAGGAAAGGCATGCAGTAAGGTGGAGTTGGAATCGGACATGGTAACAGTCGACAGTTAAAATATTTAGTGAAATACAGTGAGAAATCCCATTTGACCTCATGGCAACAATCCTTCCAAAAAAATAAATGCAAGTTGCGCTTAGCTAATAAAAAGTAATATTAGGCCCCCATGGTTTATCTGTAACCTTTGTACAATTAACAAGTATCACACTGCTATGGTAACTCAGTTACAGCAATGGGGGTTGATGGGGAGCTGCCACAACGATACGTCATGGTCTCAGAATATAGTGTAGTCCATTTCACCTGAGATGTGGAGAAATATTTTCACTAAGAGGGCGATGATCCCATGGAATTCTCTTACACCCATGATTATTGATGTTCCTTTACTACATCCATCCTTTTTTTTTTCCTTGCATACTTTGTACCAAACTGCAGTCCAGACTCATTTTAGGGACTTGTAGACCACTCCCACAAGTGACTTCTTTCTCCCACTATTATTCACCACCACCCAAGAAAGAAATTCCATAAAGCTTCTCAAACTTTCCGGTTGCATCAGCTTCAGGTTCTAATCTATAAGCAGGTTTCTTTTGATTTGAAGTTTGATTTAGAAATTGTCAAGTATTCTGTCAGCTCCTCAGTAACAAGCACAACAGTGTCAGTGAAGCAGAGGAGAAAGATTAAATATTCACCATGTGATTTGTTGACAATTGCTTCACAAGATTGTTCCAGTTCCTCTCATCGTAATTCACTCTGTAATATCCCGTAACATTAATATTGGCCAAGAGCCACTCGTTTCCATTCAATTTCATTTCCGGATTGGTTTCTGTTGTTATAGTTAAAACATATTCATTAGGGAAAGGGTCATTGATGAGGGAGCGCTGCGCTGTTGGAGGGTCAGTGCTGATGAAGTGCTTTACTGTCAGATATGCTCTCTTCTGGATGAGATGTTAAACTTATGCTTACTTACATTCACCATGCGCTGCTCTAAAATGGTAAGTGCAGTCCCAAGTACGTAATGGGAAACTGATGTAGGCATTAAAAAGGCCTGACATTGACTGGAACCCTGTAGAGCTAGGAATAGTTGGTGCTGAGAGTTGGGAGAATAGGCCCAGTTTTGCAGGAATTGGCTGTTAGGCATTTTCCATGATTGTGAAATTACAATGGTGCTATTTCCATTAAACAGGCGACCTCTAAGCCTTCACAGTTTATTCAGATTGTTACTTATCTCCATTCATACCTTGGTGCTCCAATAACCAAGTATTGTTCTCTGTTTTCCCTTTCATCCATGTAATTGGTACAATCCAAGTGTAACTGAAACACACAAAGACAAAATAAATCTGTCAGGGATGCTGTTGTGGTGTGGGAGTGTTTTCCGTTCTTAGCTTAGCTCTCACCAATGAAGGTTGTGTCTCTGATTGTGAAAGTTATGACATAAACTGATCACCTTGGAATGACCTGCATAAAGGAAAGGATGTTTGAGGTGATACATTGGAGAGTATGACAGCAGAGGGTTGGGAGAGATTCGCTCTGCCATCCACTGCCTGTAACTGACCCTTTCTTTGGTCAGGTTCAATTATTCATTGGTTTTAATTCAATTGAAACTGCAATCACCAACACAGTAACAAGGGAGCTGCTTATTCATGACATTGCCCTATTTGAGACCTGACTGTACAGTCTGTCTGCTGCATTTGTTAAAATAACACCTAAGTTCCTGCATTCCACAGCAAACCCTTTGAACTGTTGAGTTTATAGATGGCTGTACATAAATACAATTTTATTTTTGTGTTACTCATTAATTATAAAAATACCAAGAGTTTTCAACTCCATCTAGCAGTGAATTTAACCATTGGATAGTGTCTGCGAGAAAAATGTAAATTGCTACATTTTATTTTCAAATCTTAATTTAAAATTCTTTTTCACAATGTTATGTTCAATAATTATGACAGAATCAAAATATTTCAACGGAATTAAGAGGCATTCAAATTCCTGATCAGACTTACTTGAACTTTGAAGGACGAGTCACATTTGAATTTGGATCAAGAAGAAAATGTTTTTGGGTAACAGTTCCAGTTGTTGTATTTATTGTAATGACTGGAAAACCCATCTGTAGCGTCCATCGACTCATAATTTCATCGACTGTTTTGGGTAACTTGATAGAATCATCAACAGCCTGAAAAGGAAAATTAGGATCAATGTCAGCCATCACTTGATAAACTCTGAACAGGTGATTCACGTCCAGCTCCAGGACTTGATTATGGTACTCAAAGCTGACATTCTAGTTCAGGACTGAGGGAGCACCGCACTGTCAGAGGGTCAGTGCCGAGGGAGCACCGCGCTGTTGGAGGGTCCATGCAGAGGGAGCGCCGCGCTGTTAGAGGGTCAACACTGAGGGAATACCACACTGTCAGAGGGTCAGTGCCGAGGGAATACCACACGCAGTCATCAGCCAAAGGAGGATGGTAGGTAGAGGGGAGAAAATGGCCTAGTGGTATTAATGCTGGACCGTTAATCCAGAGAGCCAGATAACGTTCTGAGGACCTGGGTTTGAATCCCGCCACGGCAGATGGTTGAATTTGCATTCAATAAAATATCTGGAATTAAGAATCTAATAATGACCATGAATCCACTCTCAATTGTCGGAAAAACCCATCTGGTTCACTAATGTCCTTTTAGGGAAGGGAACTACCATCCTTACCTGGTCTGGCCTACATGTGACTCTAGACCCACAGCAATGTGGTTGACTCTGAACTGCCCTGTGGGCAATTAGTGATGGGTAATAAATGCTGCCTAGCCAGTGACGCTCTCATCCCATTAATGAATAAAAAAAAATCAGTGGGAGGTTTATGTCTGTGAGACAGCTCTCTCACGTTTGACACTAGGCCCCAGACATTGGAGATCGGGCTGTGCCAGGTCAACAGAACTATATTTGTATTTGCAGTTGTCATTTTCAGTGTGTAGCTCAATATCAGAAGATCTTATTTTGTTCATTCATGCAATATGGGCACTGCTGGCTGGTCAGCATTTATTGCCATTCTCCAGGTTGCCCGTGAACTGAGTGGTTTGCTCAGCAATTTCAGAGGGAATTGAGAATCCGTCACATTGCTGTGAGTCTGAAGTCACATGTACGCTGACTTGGTGAGGATGGCCATTTCCTTGCATCAAGACATTACTGAACCAGATGGGTTTTTCCGACAATCAGTGATGAATTTATGGTCATTTCTTAAATCCTGATATATTTTTTAATTCACATTCCACCATCTGCTGTTGCGGGATTCAAATTCAGGTCCCCAGAACACTGGCACAGTTTCTGGATTAATAGTCTAGTGACAATACCATTTGGCCATTGCCTCCCCCTCTGTCCATTTTCATTCCTTTGTTTAGACTTTGTAGCAGTTTGATACAACTGCGTAGCTTCCTCAGATATTTCAGAGGCTTATGAGTTAATCTCGTTGCTGTGGGTCTGGAATCACGTCGAGGGCAGACCATGTAAGAATGACAGATTTCCTTTCCTAAAGGCCATTAGGGAACCAGGTGGATTTTTATGATTAATCAAATTGTTATATGATGCCCATTAGGTTAGCTTTATAATTTTGAAATTTACTGATTCAAAAGTTACCATCTGCCATGTTGGGATTCAAATACGGCTCCCCAACATATTAGCCTGGAGTTCTGGATCACCAGATCAGTGACATTACCACTGCCCCGCTGTCTCCCCAAATGGGAGAGCCCCAAAGATGCATCACCTTTAATCTGTTGAATTTAGATGCTGGAAAGTGACCAAGCAATAACTGGAAGTAATGGTAATGAGTAACAATTAATCAAAGGGAAACTGCAATTTCAGAGCCACAGCAATGTGGTTGAATGTCAATTCCCTCTGAAATTGCTGAGCAATTTATTAATTAATTTGACATTGTGCAAGACACTAGCCGCTTTAAAAGTAATTGTGTGCTTTTTTTAAATGAAAGTTTGCAGCACCTGTGTTTTCAGTCATAAACGTTATTAATAAATATAATTTTGTTTTTAATTATCTCAATCTTTTCAAACACAAACCTTCTGCAGATGCTCAAAGAGGTCTGCGTATATCGTGTTGTTATATGAAAACTGATGGAGGTAGGTCTATAAAACAAAAATTAAAAATTATGGAAATTTCAGCAACTAAAATATCTCAGATTAATTGATAAAATGAAATAAAATTTAACATGGAGACTTACACTGAGCCCTTTGACAAATATTGGTTCAGTCAGAAAGTTGGAAAGCATGCGAAGGACAGATGCTCCCTACAGAGAAAACCAGTCATATATTTGTTAGGGTGACAATGACCAAGTTATACACAGCACAATATTCTGTTAGAAAGATTCACTTGCCTTGCTATATGAAATTGCATCAAAAAGCTCATTAATTTCGGCTGGTGTGTTAATCTCGGTTTCTTTAGATGAGAGAGGATGAGATGAGGCTAAAGCATCAATAGCAAAAACTCTGTAAACGTCATTCAGTACAATTAGATCTTTCTGTGGAAAAAGAGAACCACTGTCAACCAATCAAATGAAAAATAGGTTTATTTCTCGTCTCAGTATGGTCTGTAATGAGGATTCTTCAGATTACAGGTATCTAAACAATATTAATTGAACAAACTTGTTCGAAATGATAAATTTAAAAGATTAGTAAATTGTACTGTGACTCAGGAAGAGCTAATATTTTTGAAGTAGGGGAAAAAATAACAGATTTTTAAAAAAACTTTTTGAATGCCTAGTTGTGTTGGCCATGCTGGACACATAATGCCCTCTAGATAATGACAACATGAATCCAGTAATGCAAAGGACAGTACTGGAATGAAACTTGTTTAGTGCTCCAGGCCCGACCTCACTGTGATCAAGGATGTTGTCAGGGTGTACCTTGTTAGTATTAAGTGTCACTCTCATACTTTAGCTACCAACACCATTGTCATGACCCACTTGGGAAAGTGTGCTGATTGTCAAGTCCCAGTATTCCCGAGGTCACCGTAAGAGTTAATAATTTAATCATAGAATGCAGAGACCTGGATTTACGTATCTGATGGAATCAGGTTAACAGAAAACACTGACCAATCTCCTGTACTCAACAAGAATTACTGTTTATTACAAATTAGTACATGCTAATCACAAGTAAACAGCAATGAACTAACAACATATAGTCCTACTGGCACTGCCGGCTGCTCTCTCACAATCTACTCTTTCCTTGCAGTGAACTAAAACTCAGTGCCTGTGTCCTGCCTCACACCAAGCCATGCTGCCTCATTGCTGTGTACTCTCTAACCTTCACTGGTTCACAGTGTAGTAACATGTTGATTTTAACATTCTAATCTTTATTTTCAAATTCCTTCATGGCTTTGCTACTTACAATCTCAGTAACTTCATCTAGACCCACTGAGGTTTTGATGCATTTTCATTCTGGCCTCTTGTGTGTCCCTGATTCCAACTGATCTACCATTGGTGGCCGACAGTAAATTTGCTTTTCGTTCTTTCATGGGATATGAGCATCAGTGACTGGGCCAGCCTTTATTGCCCATTCATAGTTGTCCTTGAGAAGTGGTAGTAAGCTGCTTTCTTGGATGACTTCAATCTCCCATTTGCTGTAGGTAGACCGCCAGTGCTGTTAGGGAGGAAGTTCTAGGACTTTAACCCAATGACACTGGAGGTCCAGTGGTATATTTCCAGTCAGGATGGTGAATGGCTTGGAGAGAAACTTTCAGATAGTGGTGATCCCATGTACCTGCTGCCCTTGTCCTTCTTGATGATAGTGAGTGTGGGTTTGGAAGGTGCTGTCTAAGGAGCATTAGTGAATTGTTACAGTGCATCTGTTGAAGTAACTCCACAGAAGCCAGTATCCCATCTTCAAGTCATCCTTTACTTACGTGTGCAAAGTCCTTGATACTGGTCCAGCTCTCTCAGAGCCAGAATGTCTGACAGTCCTCTTTTTATCTGTGCCAGGGCACCCTGATTAGACCAGATTAACAGCCCCAATAGGGAACTCATAGTCTGAGGTCCACCTGGCTGACCTCGTTACAATCACTACACAGTAAATGGTACACTCTGCTGCTACTGAGCATTAGTGGCTGAGAGAGTAAATTTGAAAATAGTGGATGTGGTGCCAATCAAGCAGGCTGCTTTGACCTGGATGGTGTTGAGCTTCCTTAATGTTGTTGGAGCTGCACTCATTCAGACAAGAGGGAAGTATTCCATCACACTCCTGACTTGTGGCCCGCAGTGGAGAGTTAGGAGGTGAGTTACTCACGACAGAATTCCTGCCCTCTTTGTTTTTTAGCTACAGTATTTATAGGAGTATTCCAATTCAGATGACCAGATGGCGAATTCAGTGATTTTAGTGCCATTGAATATCAAGGGAGATGATTAGATTCTCTTGTTGGAACTAGCCGTTACTTTACAGTTGTGGGCCATGGATGTCATTTCCCATTTGTCAGCCCAAACCTGGATACTATCCAGGTCTTGCTGCATTTTGATCTGTACGACCTCAAGTACGAATGGTGATGAACATTGTGTAATCATCAGTGAACATGCCTACTTCTGACCTTGTGATAGAGGGCAGGTCATGAAGCAGCTGAAGATGGTTGGGCCTGGGACATTATCCTGAAGAACCCCTGCAGAGATGTCCTGGAACTGAGATGACTGACCTCCAACAACCACATCCATTTTCCTATGTGCTAGATATGACTCCAATCAGTGGAGAATTTTCTCCCAATTCCCATTGACTTCTGACTTGCTAGGGCAGGTTGCCTCAGTTTCAAGCTCTGGAATATCTATCCTTTACCTCTCCACATCTCTACCTCACTTTCCACTTTTACGACATTCCTTAAATTCTAGTTCTAGCATTTGATCATCTGTCCCAACATTTCCTTCTGCATCTCAATTATCATTAAACATTGAAATAATATAAAGAATTAAATATGATACTGAAACAATCAAACAACTGTATAACTCACAGACACTTCTAACCTTGACCCTTTACTCTAATGTCCTGACCACAGCATTGAAATTATCTTATTTTCCACCAGACTTCCAATTGATTTCTCAGATTTCCATTGATAAAACACAAGCAGCCTTAAGCCACAGATTCACACTCACTGAGAACTATGTTATCTCTTCTCAAGCTCAAGAGTCCAGATTAGACTTTACTGTAAGCAGTGAGCAAACAGTGGCTGCCATTCATTGAGCTGTCCTTGCCTACAGACATTCTGTAGGGTTTTTTGAATTAAACAATAAAATGGGAGTACAATAGCTCCTTAGTGCATTCTCCATGGCAACTCCTTAATCAATCAGAAGCTATTTGTCAGCTGATCAGCACCCTTTTCTCTTGAAATATAAAAATAGTGATTCTGTTTGAGATTTGGTATTCTTGCAATCATGTCCTGATGATTGCAAGATGAAAAGCTTTGGCAGCATGTATTTTTTAATAGTAATATTCAAGGCCTGGATGGCCAAATGATTATGTCATCTTCACTCAGGATAAGTTGCTTTCCAGCTTGTGTATAGTTAATGATGAGTACTTTTAGTCTCACCATTACTTTTCAGCAAAGTGCAGGCCAGGCAGCCCATCAGTGCTGATAGCTCTTCACTTTCCAGTACCAAAGACAGTCTACAAAGCACAGTATCACTCAACCAGTGAAAGGAATTTGATTTGAGAGTGTGTACATTTTTTTGATAACTATAAGGCAACAATTTCTTGAACTGTTGAGCATAATGTTGGTAAATAATTAGTACTCATCGCATCAATACAATGGAAGAAAATAATCTAGAAGTTGACTGATAACTTTGAGAAGTATCAATCTCCGATCTCCATAACTCAGTTCAATCAGGAGAATGCTGTCTCATTCAAGTCAGTTTTATCTTTTTTTTGAGGAATTAATAATGTCAGGTCTTTCTTTAACAATTCTGACCCTGATCATCTTACCACACCCCACTGTGGCTCAGCCTTATCTGCTCCCAAGTATTCAACGTAAGAAGCAAATCCTTCATTCAGCCATAAGTCATTCCACCACTTTATCGTTACCAGGTTTCCAAACCACTGAAACAAAGAAAAAGTTAACATTAGAATATATAAATTCTCCCATAAACTGCTGTGATATTTCAGGAATGTAACAGACTCATTCTCTAACAAGAGGTGAGTAACAGTTTCATTCTACAAGACAAATGTGTTGGTTCAAGAAGATATGTAGGTATATCATGCAGCAACAGAATGCCGTTTCAGAAAACCGTATCAATTGTATTTCCACCCTAGAATGTACAACTTTGATCAAGCTTCAGGCCCAATCTCCTAAAATCATCTTCATTGGCTCAGCATTAATTTTGTCTGATTGCACCTATATGAAGCATTTTGCAATTTGTCTCTACACTTTTAGCACTATTTAGATTCAAATTGTGTTTGTTGTGCAGCTCAATTAGGTAATAAATTTGAGCATGGACAGCTTGTAAACTGTATGTAATAATTGCATGTTTGAAATTATGCCAGCACTAAAGAACCAAAGAGATTTTAACTGTTCTGGTGACAGACCAGAATTATTCAATCTATTGTTCACTATCATAACTTGCTGAAGTGGGGTTTAGAACCCTGCTCACAACAGCTACAGCTGAGTTTCACTGCATTGACTGTGCTCTCAGTCTCATCTCTGCACGTTGAATTAATAACAGCTAGTCTCCCCCACAGATCTGATGGGGGCTCACCATCCATCCTACAACTGCTTTTATCATTACTGTCATGGTTTACCCAAGTCACTTCCTCTCTCTACTTAACAATGTATCATTCTTAAAGAGCATTCCCTTGTTTCTCTTCAGGTAACTCCATGGGATATTTTACAGCCACCCAGGATGAAAGATGCAACTTTGGTTTGATCGAGTGGATTCCAACGCTGCAGCTGTCCCTCAGCACTGACCTTCTGACAGTACATTACTGCCTCAGTACTGACCCTGTAAATAGTACAACACTTTGGTCCTGACACTCTGAAAATGTAGTGCCCCCTCAGTGCTGAGTACCAGTTCAAAGAAGAGTACAGGAGGTCATATCGTGGCAGAAACAAGTTTACTTTTGAAAATATGGGACTATCAAGAAGATTTGTGAGGGGGCAGGTTTCTTTCAAACAGACAAGCAGGTCATGGAGAGAGAAAAGGTTTGAAACATCAGGAGTGCACTTTTTCACAGTCTCCAAACAGAAAGAGTAGAAGAAAGGTAGTCCCAAGTGGCTTAGAAAGAGAAAAGCTCCAGAAACGGGAGGCTTTAAAGTCTCAGAGAGGAAGACATCATACAAGGCTGTTGAATGCATGAGTTTAAGGAACAAATGCTACTGAGTAAGTGAATTGTGTTAGCAGTTTAAGGGTCTTGTAAAGATACATTAAATAAAGAAGAAAACATTGAGCAAATGCACAATTCTTCCAAAAAGAAACCAAGTACATTGTACCAACTGAACAAGGAAGTTCAAAGTGGAAACACAGTAATGCTCACTAAGGTTTGAGTATTTGTAAGGTTGATGCTGAGGGTCAAAGTCTGAATCTCTATTTCTGATATTTGTAATATCATCCAACCAGTTCTTGTATAGTATGAAATAGTCTCTTTTCCCTTTTCTGTGTAATAAAGTTTCAAGTTCCTTTGTTCAAAGAATGTGGTGAATATGTTGAGCGACTGACAACAAAGATAATCAAATTGCAAGAGTAAAACTTATGGCCTATAAGCCAGGTCTGACTTTGGAATCTGACTACCATCAGATTGTCCAAACGCTCCCTGTGAATCAGATTCAATTCTGATGCCTTGGGAATCTCTTCCCCGTGAAAGCAGATATCAATAAGGATGAAATTTAGCATCATCTCCAGTGTACCAGTGGATCCTTCTGCACCAGCTAAGGTTCAGGCAACTTTATGACAAAGTACCGAGCTTATGGTCTAGAGGGCTAATTTGTTACCTGCCACCTGTTCACCTGCACATCTGCTATTGTGGTATACTGTATCCGCTGTTCCCGATGCGGCCTGCTGTACTTCGGGGAAACCAAGCGAAGGCTTGGGGACCGCTTTGTGGAACACCTACGCTCGGTTTGCGACAAACGACTGCACCTCCCAGTCGTGAACCATTTCAACTCCCCCTCCCATTCCTCAGATGACATGTCCATCCTGGGCCTCCTGCAGTGCCACAACGATGCCACCTGAAGGTTGCAGGAACAGCAACTCATATTTCATGTGGGAACCCTGCAGCGCAATGGTATCAATGTGGACTTCACAGGCTTCAAAATCTCCCCTCCCCTGACCACATCCCAAAACCAGCTCAGCTTTTCCCTGCCTCCCTAACCTGTCCTTCCTCCCACCTATCCCCTCCTCCCACCTCAAGTTCCACCCCCATCTCCTACCTACTGCCTCATCCCGCCCCCTTGACCTGTCCATCCTCCCTGACTGACCTATCCCCCCCAACTCCACACCTACGCTCACCTTTACTGGCTCCACCCCCGCCTCTTTGACCTATCTGTCTCCTCTCCACCTATCTTCTCCTTTATCCGCCTCCCCCTCTCTCCCTATTTATTTCAGAATCCCCTTCCCCTCCCCCATTTCTGAAGAAGGGTCCAGACCCAAAACGTCAGCTTTCCTGCTCCTCTAGTATTCTATCACACTTCTGATTTGTGCCCTGTAGATGGTGAAGAGGCTTTGGGGAATCAGGAGGTGAGTTACTCATTGCAGTATTCTCAGAATCTGACCTGTCCTTGTACCCCAGTATTTATATGTCTAGTTCAATTCAGTTTCTAGTCAATAGTAACCCCCAGGATGTTGATAGTGGGAGAATCAGTGATGGGAATGTTACTGAATGTCAAGCAAGCGATAGCTAGATTCTTTAGTATTGGATATGGTCAATATTTAGCATTTGTGTGGCACGAATGTTACTTGCCACTTATTAGCTTAGACGTGGATAATTTCTAGGTCTTGCTGCTTTTTGATATGGACTGCTTCAGTATCTGAGGAGTCCCGAATAGTACTGAACATTGTACAAACATTGGCGAACATACCCACTTCTTACATATAGTGGAGGGAAAGCTCCTGTGCTGTGATCTCAGCTTGTGTTACTACTGAACAAGCCAGATCCCAAAAAGTGAAATGTAGGTTTGGTTTTAACAATAGAGCAGATATTTATTATACCAAAGAAATAAAAATAAAATAAACCAAACCAAGTTCTCTAAATATAACACAGCCTAAAAGATTTTAAAGCAAACAAATCCCATGTGGTTCCAAAACATTAGAGTTAGTCAAAATTCAGAGAAATTCCTTCCCTATCAGATCTCTGGGTTTAAATTAACTGCTTTTCCTCAGTTCTAGGTCTGTGAGTTGTGAGGCCTTTTCAATTGACCACTCAAAAGAATGAGAACATAGATTTCCTTGGCCTTTTTCACAATCTGCAGAGTACTAACCAAACACTCCTGGTCTAGAGGGTTCACAAACTACACCCTTTCACTGAGGTAACCTATTTTCTGAACTGCTCTGAATGATTTCTTTATTCCAAGAGAGACTGTACTTCAGCCAGATCTTTTTCAAACTGGGGTTGCTAAGCTATGATTAATATTTAATTATCCTCAACCCAAAATCAACATGATACCTTTCAATGTTTTATCTTTCCTGTCATAAACTCCCAAAGTGTGCCTTTGTGGCATTGCCCTACCTTTGGAGCAGGAGGCCTGAGTTTATGTCCTACCTGCTTCCCACCTCTGAACATGTCGATTAGAAAAATCTAAATGCCCACAATATAAACAAACTTCCATTTACACTCCAGGGGTCCTTGCAGTCAACTCCTCCCTGCCACATACAGGTTTAAAAACATTATTCCAGAAAAGCCAACCTAGTTACGTCTTAAAACCTTTCACAAAAATCCAAACTCTTAAAAACAAATGACATCAATATAAACATATTAGTAATATTAACATAAGTTATACATATCTCACCACTTTGATAAAATAGCTGAAAGTGGTTGGGCCTAGAATACTACCCTGAGGAACCTCTGCAGAGATGTCCTAGAGCTGAGATGATTGACCTGCAACCACCACAGCCATCTTTTGTGCCAGGTATAACTCCAGTCCTGAGGAAGGGTCACCAGACCCAAAATGTTAATTCTGATCTTTTCTTCACAGGTGCTGCCAGATCTGTTGGGCTTTTCCAGAAACTTGTTTTTGTCCCTGTTGGACTATAACATGGTGTCATGTGATTTATGACCTTGTCCACCCACATCATAGCAAATTGATAGAGGCAGTTGTCATGCTATATAGAAATATTTGCTTAGCTATAACCACCTCACTGATGCTCAGTTTGGTTTCTTTCAAGGCCACATGGCTCCTGACTTCATTACAGTATTAGATCAAACATGGATAATAGAGCTGAATTCCAGGGGTGAGGTGACAGTTGACTTCCCTTGACATCAAGGCCACATTTGACAGAGTGAAGTGTCAAGGAGTTCAAAAAAAACTGGAATCATTGGAAATTTGAGGTAACTGGCTGGAGTCATACCTGGCTCAGCGATTCTGTGTTGTTGTGTATCTCAAAGATTGGAGGCTGAATGCCCTTCACTGCTGAAGTGTTCCCTGATTGGGAGGGAACATTCCTGTCTGGCGATTGTTGCGCAGTGTCCATTTACCCATTGTCTTAGCAACTGCAGACCATACACTGACCCTCCGACAGTGCCGCACTCACTCGATACTGCAGTTAACTGTAGTCAAATTAGTTGTGGGGCTTGAACTTTCCAATTCAGACTGAGAGTACTACACGTGAGTTAAACTAACACTTGACTGATCTAATCTCACGGCACAAAATGGGAAAAAAACATTGTACCTGATGAGCCAGTTCATGTGCAATGACCTTTACAACTCTCTCCTTGTTTCCAGCAGATGACAGTTTGGGGTCATACAGGAGAGCAGTCTCACGGTAGGTGATAAGACCCCAGTTCTCCATTGCACCAGCGTTAAAGTCAGGAAGTGCAATCTGATCTGTTGGTAATTTGAGAAACATGAAATACGATATTAAGCGTTAATTGATGCTCTAGAGAATCTTTGATTAGTATTCATAATTACTGTATAGATCTTAGTGCTTTGTAATTAATTTCTTTATAATTTTACCAAACATCCTCTTGGTGATTTTTGAAAAGGGAATGACCCAGCTACTGGTGGAAAGGGAGCTTCTCCATGACCCATTCCACAGACCTCCAGAGGTGCCATGATGAGCACAGGAGTCTCAGACCCACCTGGGTGTTCTTTGATTCTGTTCACAGAGGAAATGGCTGGCAACAGAGACCTGCTCAGCCTTTGTGTGACATCAAAATTATCAGTACAATAATTCAATCTTTCCCTTTTCATGTGTTCTTGTAAAAGATGACTGACCTGAAACATTAGATTTTTACAATACTTGGCTAAGCGTTAATTTCATTGCATTTGCCTCCTTGAACCCTGAAGACTTTTCTCATGCGACATTACCCTGCTCACCTCATTTATACACCACATCTCCTCTCTTGTGCTATCTTGCATGAAGCAATATTCCACTATTTTTTGCAGCAGGCATATTTAAACCACAGCTGTGTAATGGATCAAGTGTACCCCACCCCAGGTCAGCGCAGTGTCCACAATGCTGAAGTCAGTTACCTTCTCTGTTCCACAAACGGAAGTACCACCATCTTTTCTGTGCATTACCCCCAACTCACCCTAACTCTGCCACTGCACCAACTCCTCCGTGCCCCTCATCATCGACCCTGCCATTCATTCCCCCTTCTGCTCTCCCCCTTCCCCTCCACTGCCCGCTCCCCTCTACTCATCCCAGTTCACTGGTGTTTCATAGATTATTGTGCTCTTGAGAGCTGGTGAACAAACCTGGCGGAATCTGAACACTCTATGAATGAATGCAAAGTTTAATTTGAGAGTAAACCCCTGCCACAGTCTCCCAGCAGCTAAATTTTCCTGTTGAAAGGTGGAACTGACTGACTGTCCCCAATGTGAGTGTAATTCCAGTCAAGCAGTGTTTTTGTACTGCGAAACAGAGTTAAAGCTTACAGTCTGTGATCTTTCATTAGAACTCAGGAAATGTATGCAAGTGTATAATATGGAAGGGAATGGGGAAGGGAAGGGACAGAAGGAATGTTGTGCGGTTGGGTGAAAGGGAGCAGCAATTAAATGCCAGAAGAACTGATGGTGCACCATGAAGGAGGGCAATAAGAAAGAAACATGGTGGGTCTCGAGAAGCAGAAAATGACAAAGACAGAACCAACACCTGTTTTGAATAATTTCTGAATAATTTTTTTTATATTCATTCACAGTATGAAGTCATCACTGGCCAGGCAGCATTTATTGTCCATCCCTAATTGCCCAGAGGGCAATCAAGACTCAACCACATTGCTGTGGGTCTGGAGTCACATGTAGGCCAGACCAGGTAAGGATGGCAGTTTCCTTCTCTAAAGGACATTAGTGAACCAGATGGGTTTTTCCAATAATTGACACCGGATTCATGGTCATCATTAAATTCAAACCTGCGGCCCCAGAACATTACCTGGGTCTCTTGATCAACAGTCCAGCGATAATACCACTATGCTGTTACTTCCCACAAATGGGAACAATGGTTATGATGTGAAATAATTGAATTGAATGTTGAATCCAGAAGACTGTATAGAATGACTAAATGAGGAATTGTTTTCTTAAACTGCTATTGAGAATTTAAAGGTGATGTTTCTTGAACTCTATTGAAAGCTATTGGGAGGGGGGCAAAGAATTTGAATACAAGCACCTGTTTGTAAACTGAACAGAGGTGTTCTACAAAACCATTCAGTGAGCAGCAAATCACAGATTCAAAGGAAGTGCAAGTAAATTTCTGATTCACCTGTTATTTAATCTCCGCTGCCTTCCACCTTATCACAGAGCTGTCTCTTTTGTTCTTTCCTCTCCTCCCTAGCCCTTCACTTGTATGTACCTAAAGCCTGTTACACCTCACATTTTTCCAGTTCTAATTAAAAGATGATTGGTTAAGCGTCAATTTCAGAAAGTTTCATTGAGGGTCTCCCTGTGAACCCTGGAGACATTTCTCTCACAATTTTACACTGTTCATCTCATTAAGTTTGGACCACACCTCTGCAGTGCTCTCTCATGGAACCTTACCCTCAGCAGCAGCAGAACGATTGCCATTAGTGATCATTATAGGCAACATCTTTTAAAGTCCATTTGTGTACTGTGCCAAATACTGGCAGCCTGCTCTGAAGTAGCTCTTAGGACAGTGCATTGTCCACAGTTTAAAGGAATACACAGGAACTGGTTATTAATCAAGGACTGTAGACGATATCGCTGCACTTTTAAAAACGAGTTACTGAAACTCATTGCGTGTAGTGTTTACACTGCTGCTTTGTTTAAGCAGTCAGGGAAAATGTTTGTAGATGGCGTGGGACTGGAGGGTGTTGTGCAGAGTGAAATTTGTCTGGTAACAAGTAGCTGATTGGTTTGTCTAATTGTGACCAGTTAGGAGTGCAAAGCTCATAAGCCTGATGAAACTCTCTGGTTCCTGGGCAGCTACTCAGCCTATGGGTGCAAATAATTCATTGAAAACCTTCAGCCTGCTGGAAAGACAGACAGTGTCTCTCCCGCTCTCTCTCTCTGCAACAAAAACACCTGAAACCTGAAGACAGCCAGTTATTTACCCCCACCAGTTACAGTAAGCTGTTGCCTTTAACCAGTAGCTAAGAAACTCTGTAGTTAGTGTACAAATCACCCTGTGCCTCCTGTGAAGAAGTGAAAGAACCTGGAGAAAGGACATTGAAGAATAGAAAGTCTTGTCAAGCAAAAGATACATCTCAACAGACCCTTTGGGCTGATGCTATTGAATGGTGTTTCCTTAAACTTTTTTCTTCAAACCATAAAGCAGGTTTTTAACTGTTTGTCTATTTCTCTCTGTATTTGTGCATATAGTTAAAAGAATACAGTTTTGACCAGTGGAACTATATGTTCATAGTTTGTAGCTGTTTACTTGAAAACAGAATTTACTTAGGGCCAGTCTGTGTTTTCTGTGAGCTTGATTCCAGCAGACAGACAGTTCAGGGCATTTCTGTACTTTGATTAAATCAATAACCTTTGCGGCAATCCTGGGAGTAGTGTGGAGAGTGAGTGCATGTTCCCAAATAGGTCATGACACAGTGCAGAAAGATTAATGGTCTCCTGTATTCTACAGGATAAATGTCACCATCTTCTCTCTACTACCTCACATTCACTGTAAATCTGCTACTGCACCTACCTCTCACCAGTGCTCACAGTTTAAAATCTCAGTATTGCATAGAACATCTTGAGATCTCACACACCCCATTTCCCCTCAAACTACTAACCTTTCCTGACTTCTGCACTTCCTGCTCACTCACATGGATGACCCTCCCTGATTTAGGACAGACCAGCCCCCTAAATGCCAATGTCCCCCTGTGTCCACTGCCCTGTTTATGTCAGTAGCTTGCTCCAAGGAGCAGCTCCTTCTGGCATCTCTCAAACCTCGACTGACTTATCCATTCAGTTCTCACTGACACTCTTTTAAGCAGATTACACCAGTTTATAACCCTTCCCTGTGAAATGGGAGCCCAACAGTTCAAGCAGTGGGAGACAGAACCTCATTAAAACCCACTTCCAGGAGGAATGAAGCAGCCTCTGGTCATTCTGCATCCTGTTGGGGGAAGTCACTGGAGCTGCTGATCTAGCTGTGCTGGGTTTAGACTTCCTTTCATTGTAATTATATCGTCCACCTATGGCCAGAGTGGTAGCGGCGTGGATCAGGACTCTTGGCAGTGTTGGCAAGGCGTTGACAGCAGCAGTGCCAGGAGCACCTGGAGCATCAGCATCGCTGTACTTGGATTGGAGATTTCTCAAGGCCCAGAACACCTTGCAGAGACCTGGAGCTGTGCTTGAGACCCCAAAGATGAACTGTTATTTGAGTAATATAATTTTATTCTTCTGGTAACTCAAAATGGCACCGGATTGGGGCAACAAAACACTTTTCACTGTATCTTCGAGATGTATATGACAATAAAATCATTCATTCATTCATTTATATGTGGCAGACAGCCACGGCACTCCACTGTACATGTGAACCTGGTTATTTCTGCATTCCTTCAACTTACCTAGTACTGAATAAATATTTGGTCACCGTACAAATGTTTTTATATCTGAGATCTTCATCTGATCCTGCTTGAAAGTATCTGCACTTTACAGGGTCTACCTCACCATCGAAGAGACAACAGTGTCAGTGAGACAGAGCAGTGATATCAAACACAGAGACAGTAGGAACTGCAGATGCTGGAGAATCTGAGATAACAAGGTGTAGAGCTGGATGAACACAGCAGGCCAGGCAGCATCAGAGGAGCAGGAAGGCTGACGTTTCGGGCCTAGACCCTTCTTCAGAAAAGAATTGTCGCATTGTCAACTTGTCCATTAAGGCAGCCAAAAGTACTGCAATACCAATCTGATTACATCAGTGGACTCTTCCATTCAACAATCCATTCACCGACTGGCTCTGAGAAAACAGCCTGATGATTGTGTGTCTATCTGTACACCATTTACTGGGTTCCAACAGTGCCGCAATGTCAGCAGCAATGTGGCTAAGGAGCTGGAGGTTAAAAGTACCACCAGTGCTGCGCAATTCCATCCCATCCCACCCACCATGGGATTGTGTGAAGATGGCTGTGACTTATATAATCATGAAGTGCTTTGAGCCCACGTCAGCTCTTCGGTTTCCCAACCTGCCTTGATCCCCTACAATTTGCCTACCGACATAACAAGTCCACAGCAGATGCCATATCCCTAACCCTGTGCTCATCCCTGGAACATCTGGACAACAAAGTCACCCAAGTCAGACTCCTGCTTATTGACTACAGCTTCACCTTCACACCATTATCCCCTCCAGACTGCTCTCAAAACTGTGTGACCTTGGTCTTGGCTCTGCCTCTGCAACTTCATCCTCAGCTTTCTGACCCACAGACTGCAATCAGTGAGGATAGGTAACTGCACCTCCTCCACAATAATACTCAACACTGGAGCCCCCCAAGGATGTGTCCTCAGCCCCCTACATTACTCTCCGTACACCCATGACTGTGTTGCCAAATTCTGAACAAGTGCTATGTACAAGTCCGCTGACAACACCACCTTAGTGGGTCAGATATCTGACAACGACGAGTCAAAATACAGAACAGAGATAGGGTGCTTGGTGACGTAGTGCAATGAAAACGATCTGTGTCTCAACGTCAGCAAAACTAAAGAACTGATCATTGACTTCAGAAAGGAAGGAGGAGAACACAACCCCATCAACATCAACAGAACTGAGCGTAAGAAGGTGGACAGCATCAAGTTCCCAGGAGTGACAATAACTGACAACATGTCCTGGACTTCCCACATAGATATGACAGTCAAGAAGGCACAATAACACTTCTTCTTCCTCAGGCAGCTCAGGAAATTTGGAATATCCATAAGGATTCTCACCAACTTCTACAGATGCACCATTTAAAGCACACTGTCCAGGTGCATAACGGCCTGGTATGGCAACTGCTCTGCCCAGGACCGTAAGAAACTACAGAAGGTGGTGTGCACAGCCCAGACCATCACAGAAGCCAACCTTCCATCTATGGACTCCATTTACAGGACTCGCTGCCGTGGAAAGGCTGCCAACATCATCAAAGACCCATCGCACCCTGGTAATGATCTCCTACAACCTCTTCTGTCAGGCAGAAAAAACGGAATCTTGAACACACGCACGAGCAGGTTCAGGAACAGCTCTTCCCAGCCATTATTAGACTGATGAATGGTTCTACAGTCTCAAATAATACTGATCTTGTTATGTTGATCTCACGTAGTGTACACTCTGTGCAACATAACCTGTATGCCTCTGTCTGAGTCTTTTAGATCTGCACATCCTTGCTCACTATGATCTGTCTGTCCTGCTCTTAAACAAAGCTTTTAACTGTACTTTGGTACATATGACAATAAATCAATCAATCAATGGGAGATAAGGTGCTGAACAGGACAATCACATGAGAATGGTCATCTTCTCAACACCCAAAGTGAGTCCTCAAAATGGCAGTTTGCCAAACAATTGGAAATTCAGCCAAGTTGCTGGCTGTGAAAGGGTTTTGGACAGAAGAAGAAATAGGGTATGATCACACCGCACCTGAATTATTGTCAGAACCTGCTGTGGAGAACTAAATACATTTAAACAAGAAATTGAACATCAGGTTATAAATAAATATAAAACACTTTAAAACAATATAAAACACCATTAGTGGAGAACATTTCCAAAAGTAAACCTACCTGATTTTGGGAGTGGATAGGAAACGTTATAATAATCTTCAAAGAAGTGTAGAATTTTCCCAGTAACATTTAATGCGTATTCTCCTTGACCTTCCTGAATCGCTTGCTTTCGCGCCCAAATGCGGATCTTTAAAAAAATAACATTCTTTAGAATTGTCTTTTGTCAATTGCAGCTTTCATTTTGGACACCATCTCTCAGAAGAATGAGATGAGACGTAGCAAATACAGCTCTGGCCTTGCATCAAGACAAATGGTCTGCTAGAATCTTCTCCCCACCTACAATCGAGCTAGGCAATCTCTTTGTAGAATGGCCCTAGATTCGGAATGCCACTGTATTCAGACACGGGAGTGGTTGGTGGAAAGACCACTCGATATGAGTGAGAGGACCTGGGGCCTTTAGCACTGGCTGAATACAAGATCCCTCAGTCTGTTACTCCAGGAGGAGCCCTCCTGCTCTTGCTGTGAGTAATAGACAGCGAGGACTGGACAAGATTCCACACACAGCCCAGGGGTCTGCAGCTGCTTCTGGAGTCATTACAGAGAGACACAGGGGTCAGGGAGCATCTCAGCCCCACCCCACACCCCCACCCCCAATTCTGGAGATCCTTGTATGAGGGCTGTGCTGGTAAGGAGGGGTTCACTTCCTGCATGGACATTGTCCTGAATCATTTTAGAGCCAGGAGTCACAGAAAGCACAGCTGTCACCCAGAGGTTGTATCTCCCTGATACAGCTGTTCACAATGGGTTTACAGTTGACAATTATATAACCCATTCATGCCCAGCTTCTATCCATTAGATATCAACAACAATTGTCTCACATCACCCCTCACGGAATTTAAAAGCTCTGAATTCCTTACACCAATCAATGATTTATACTCATCACCTCATCACTTTGTTCAAATCTCAACCTTCTCACCCTCTGACCTCACTTATTTTCACTGCTGGGTTATCAGAACAGTTGTATGTTTTACACTGGGCAGCATCTTTGATGGGCAGCTGAGTGGTCTCTGTGACAGACCCATGATTCCCATCTTTAGCCAGTTTAGTTCCCTTTCCTGTTTCCAGTGAGGATATAGTGTCTATCACTGCAGGCCATGCACCATCTCAGAATCTTAACTTTCATTAAGAATCTATAGCTTGTGTTCTCACTATCCTAGCTTCTTCCTGTTCCCATTTTCTGTGTTCTGTTTTCTGAGGGTCATTTTAAATAAAGACAAGAGGATCATGAAGCCACAAACAGCCTTACCAAGCATATTAGTGTTGTATATCTAAATGACTGCATTTTATTGGTGTTGTAAACACTTGAGTGCCTGGGTGGCTCACATAGACCAGAGACTCCATCAGGTTCTTCAAGGCCCAGAAGATGCAGCATTGGGGTTGGGCACTGTCACCCTGAGAATATCCCTTTGGACACTGAGAAACCTTCCCAGCTGCTCCCATCCCTTGGACTGTGGCTGCCTGTTTCAACCTGGTTGCTAGAAAGATTCATTCAAGCTGAATGCTAAAGCCCATCTCCCAACCTCCAGTTTTGCTGCTGAGATTTAAAATTCACATGTCAGTTTCACATGGATTTGTGCACATGGTTTATGGGTTGTTTGATATCAGGATCATTTGAGACCTCAAGGAGGTGGTCACCATGTCTTTTTGCAAGTTACTCCAGACCCAGCTACAGGACCTTGCTCAAGGTCATGAGCACTGGTCAATGGCAAAACCAGCAATTTTTTGTGGTGATAGTACAATGGCAAGAGCCTCGAGAGGACTGCTACTTCCAGGCAGAGGATCTTTCTGGGGGAGGATTTACGGAATCTCCAAATTGTCACAGTAGAAGGAAGCCATTCAACTTGTTTCTCCTTTAAGCAGGCAGAGGAACAAGAGTAGGCTATTCAGCCTGTTAAGCTTTCTCCACTATTTAGTACAATTAAGGCTGATGAGGAAGACATTGGGAAACCACCTCTTCTGTTCTTTTCCCTGTCATATCATTCATTGAAAGGGGTAATGAGAGGATTTTACAAACAAATGAACAAAGGACAAGACCTAGGGCGCATCACCACTATATATAGAATTGTTGATCCCATCACAACTTAATGCCTACAATAATGAGACCCATATGTCTCAATATCAGAGATATTGAGAGATATCAGAGAATGATCAATGTAAGACCATTGGCTAGAAAGTGCCACCACTTTAGTTACTGATTACCATATCAAATGCCACTTTCGATGTCCAGAAGATGAATATGGTGTTGCCTCTATGATACGGAATAAGGACAAGTGACAGAATTGTTCTTTTCTACATCACAGCAGCGAGATACAAAGAATCCAAGCTGGAAACAATCAGACACCAACCCCTCATGGGAACAATTCCCACTTCCACAAGTAACCCCAAAGGAAGGAAAAATAATTCCATGGAAAAGTAACCAAATCTAATCTCTTACCTCGGTACCACTTTTATTTTCATACTCAAAGCCAAAGTCAGAAACAATAAAAGCCAGCAGGTAAGTGGACATCTTAGGTGTCTGTTGAAAACTAGTGACTGTCCATGTCACACCATTGTCAATTATAGTTTTGCTTTCTGAAATAAAGAATAGAACTTTTTGTGTTTAAAGAATAAACTTAAAAGTGCTTGATGATGTGTAATGAATTACTTTGAAGAACCATTACTGCAGTTTGGTACGGGCAGCAGCAGCTCAATGCACAGAAAGATCTCATTAACAGTTTGAGGATAGATGAAAATTCATTCTCATTTTGGTAGAATTGTTTGAGTAAGGAATCATGGCCAACTTATCAGAGCTTGTCCAAATTGTCCTGAACAGCTTTTTAAACAAATAGTACACTTAATTTTCTGCAAGTCATTCAAAATTATTTCATTCGTTTCATTTGATGTGATTTTCTTGACCATTGTATCTCAGCAAATTCTATGTTTATAGATTCGTACAGCACAGATGCCTTTGATCCCTCTGAGTTTGTGCTGGCTCTTTCAGAGAGCAACCCAGTTAGATCCACTTCTGTTCTGTTGCCCATATTCCTACAATGTTTCTCTACTTCAAACATGCATTCATTTCCTTTCTGAAGACTATAACTGAATCTGTCATCACCATCAATTACATAGCACTTTGCAAATTCCAAGGACTCAGTGTGTAAAAATAAAATTACTGCAGATGCTGCAAATCTGAAATCAAAACATAAAATGCTGGAGAAACTCAGGCAGACAGCACCTGTGGAGACAGAAGTAAACAGACACAATATAATGTCTTCTCCAGAAGCAGGGGTTATTTAATCAAGCAAGAGAATGCTGGGTGGCTTCTGCTTCAATTAAGTCTATGGAGGGAAGGTGCTTCCTCTTCCATCCCATTGAGGCCTTCAAGTGGACAATGTCTCAGCCTACCAGCAGTGGGCAGACTGCTCACTGCGTGGAAAGTCTAAAATCAAACCCAGTTGTATTTCTTTATGAGCTCCTGGAAAGGAGATTTCTTCATTCAACACTCAACCCCTCACTTCTCTCCAGTAATCTCTATCCCACCCTCACTCAGCTACAGCCACAGTCCTTCAGTGAGCATCAGCTTTCCTGGGTACATCACGCCTCCTGACACTACCTGCAATATATAACTGCTGGCCTCTGATTGGGAGTTCCTTGATCCCTTGAAAGAGACAAGATCAGCAGGCCATTCCAATCAGATACTTTCATTGCTCTTGAGCCAACAGGCAAGACTCCCATACCCTAAGGTGGCACAGTGGCTCAGTGGTTCAATTCCAAGTGCAGTTTGCACATTGTCCCTGTGACTGTGTGGGTTTCCTCCAGGTGCTCTAGTTTTTTTTCACACAGTCCAAAGATGTGTAGACGGGGTGGATTGGTCAAGCTAAATTGCCCATTGTGTCCAGGGATGTGTAGGTTAGGCCATGGAAAATGTTGGGTTACAGGGATGGGGGGGCGGGTGGCGGGGGTTGCAATGTGAGACTGGGTCAGATGGTCTTGGGAGTGTTGGTGTGGACTTGATGGGCCAAATTGCCTGCTTCCAAACTGTAGCAATTCTATGATCCTGCATTAAATACCACCCAATATTTCAGGTTTGGGAGCTTTTATCAGTTCTGGGTGGTTTCAGGTATATCTTCTCCTTGCTTTCTCTCTCCTAAAGGGTAGAATTTTACACTCACCTGCTGCCAGGCTTGTAGGTGAGGTTATGGAAGGACGTAATGTTAACTGGACAGCCTTCACACTGAGCCGGACTTGTCTGTAATTTTACCTGGGCAGGCAAGGCACCATTCCTACCCTCACTCCAGTTGAAGCCCTTAAGTAGCTGGGCCTCAGTTTTGAGGTTGCTGGGAAGAGTTCAGGGGATGATGGCTGATTTGGTAGAGCAGCCTGTTCAGGCCTTGGGCAGGAGGAGAGTGCCTAATACAAGGGTTCCCTTTTCACAATCGGCACTTTCCGCAGGATCTGCCCTATGAATGCTCTTTCCACTCCCTAACCTCTCCATCAAGTCCCCCAACCAACTCCTCACTAGGCAGTGAATTCCAGGCACCCACTACCCTCTGAGTGAAAAGGTTTCTTGTCACATCCCCTCTGATCCTGCTACTAATCACCTTAAAACTATGACCCCTGATAACTGACATTGCTATTGGGGAAAAACACTTCTTCCCTGTTCACTCCTCAGTCCCCTCTAAGGAAAATAACCATAGCCTGTTTAACCATTCCTCATTCCACAACTGTCAAGGTCTGGCAACATTTTGGTCAATCTCCTCTGTACTCTCTCTACAACAGCTCTGTCCTTCTTGTAATGCGGTGAACAGACCTGTATACAAAACTCCAGCTGTGAACAAACTAGTGCTTAACCCATCTTCCAACATTACATCCCTGTTTTTGCATTCACGACTGTACCCAATGAAGGCAGTCATCCCATGCATCTGCTTTACTACCTTATCTACTTGTGCTGCCACTTTCAGGGAGCCATGGACATGACTTGTTTACCCTCCCTAAATCTTGTGAAAGAGTCATTGGAGTTGGAGCTGCAGGAAGCTCCACTACACCTGATGAAGTCACACTGTCTCTGGGTGGAGAAGATGTGACATGTTGTGTCTGATAGACTTTGTAATTATGGTTAACTTGTAGCTATTGCCATTTTGCAATAAACTGCACCTTGTTATTAAGACAAGCACCTCATCTCATTAAAACTCAGTTGTGGTTTATCCATTGATAATTAGACAAGCCCTTATACAGCACGGAGAGGAGTATTTGTGGCAGCTCAATCCCAATCACCTCATAGTCACAAACTCATTGAGCTGTACAGCACGGAAACAGACCCTTCGGTCCAACCCGTCCACGCCGACCAGATATCCTAAACTGATCTAATCTCATTTACCAGCATTTGGTCCATATCCCTCTAAACCCTAACTATACATATACCCATCCAGATGCCAAGTAAATATTGTAATTGTACCAGCCTTCAATAGTTCCTCTGGCAACTCATTCCATATGCACACCACTCTCTGTGTGAAGAAGTTGCCCCTCATGTCCATTTTAAATCTTTCCCCTCTCACCTTAAACCTATGCCCTCTAGTTTTTGACTCCCCTACCCTGGGAAAAGACCTTGGCTATTCACCCTATCCATGCCCCTCATGATTTTATAAACCTCTATAATGTCACCCCTCAGCCTCCAGGGAAAAAGCCTCAGCCTATTCAGCCTTTCCCAATAGCTCAAACCCTCTAAGCCTGGCAACATCCTTGTAAATCTTTTTTGCACTCTCTCAAGTTTAACAACATCTTTCCTCTAGCAGATAGGTCAAAATTGAACACAGTATTCTAAAAGTGGCCTAACCAATGTCCTGTACGGCTACAATATGACATTCCAATTCCTATACTCAGTGCACTGTCTAATAAAGGCAAGCGTGCCAAATACCTTCTTCACTGCCCTGTGTATCTGCAACTCCACTTTCAAGGAAATACCTGCATCTCAAGTCTCTTTGTTTGACAACACTCTTCTAGGCCACACCCATTAAGTGTTGCAGTCCTGTGCTGGTTTGCCTTGACAGAATGCAACACCTCACATTTAAACTAAAATAAACTCCATCTGCCACTCCTCATGGTTGGCAATGCAAAAGAAGATACCAACCCATCCTGGTTTTAAGACCTTGCACATTTACACAGTCCCAAACTCTGAGACTTTGAATCTGTCGACTGCTTGTAGTTCCAGTCATGGCATAGAAACAAGAGTCAGCCTTTCAGCCCCTCAAGCCTGTTTCACCAGAAATGAAACCATCATTGATCCGTGGCCAGGTCCCTTTCCTTTTCCTTTCTTTTTCTCTTCTTCTTTTCTCTGCAGTAATTCTATCACCACACCCTCCCCCTAAACCCTGCCTTTTAACTACCTGTCTAAGGAGTCAGGTCGCAACAGGGAACTGTAGGACAGGAGCGAAACGTGCAGGCCGTGTCCTGCAGCAATGGCAGAACAAGCGCGGGTCAGAGCAATGACGGCAGATCAAGAGTGGGCCAGTACAGCACCGAGAACAAGCTGGTGAAGGGACGCCAGAGAGAGCGGGCCGGTGAGGGGGCGGCGGTACAGAGAGAGAGAGGGCCGGTGAGAGGGCGGTGGTACAGAGAGAGTGGGCCGGTGAGAGGGCGGTGGTACAGAGAGAGCGGGCCGGTGAGGGGGCGGCGGTACAGAGAGAGAGAGGGCCGGTGAGAGGGCGGTGGTACAGAGAGA